ACCCACTGTACTCCATTATGGGTGTCTGGGAAACAGATGACGAGTATCTCAGTGGCCCGGCTGCTACTTCGCTGCCAACGCCTTTGGATACTCCCTATCGAACTCCTTCGAGAGCATCAAAGAGGTCCCGGCGCTCGGTCACACCGCCTGGAAAGGATGCTTCTGCAGCTCAATTACCAAACGAGACGAGCTCTAAGAGATCCTCACGAAATATTCCAACCGACGAAACCATCAGTATTCTCGATCCCCGACGTTTCACACCAACTCTACACGCCAACCTAGTCTCCGAGATCTTATCTCTTCGCCGAGACCAGGAGGAGAAGACGAGGCAGATTGAAACTCTCGAAGCATCCCTTCATGCGGCAAAGGAGGAAAAAGAGTCAGTGAAACAAAACCTCACTGAAACGAGTAAGGAGAGCAGGTCGCTCAAACGACAACTTTCCCTTCTCGAGGGTGGATCTTCCTCTGCATTAGGAGAACTTGCTCGGGAGAGAGACGAGGCTGCCGATTCTGTCGCTGATGCGAGAAAGCGACTAGAAACTGCCCAAAAGAAGATCCGGGCTCAGGAAGAGGACTCACAGCGGGTTCACGAATTATGGGCACAAGAAAAGGATAGCTGGGAAGATGAGAGGCGGAAGTTCGAGAGGCGAATTCATGTTGCAGAAACCCGCTTGAAGACTGTGCTTGATGAAGTCGCCGCATATCAACAAGCCCAAATCAACAATGCTCACGGTGGAGCTAATCATGGAACAGGCAATGGCCATTATAGTGAAGTCGATGAAAGTGGCCGGGAGAACGATGCGGCTAGTGTAAGGACCATGAGCATGACTAACAGCATCCGGTTTTCCATGACGAGTGGCACTGGGATAATGAGGCTGAATGGAAACTCTCTCGCTGATGAGCTCAACTTCGATGATGAGGATGAACAAAGCGACTTTGACGGCCGGGAAAGCGCCATGTCAAACTACGCAACATCATTCCACACTCGTAATCTCAGCCGCGACAGTCCTGTGAAACGGTTCCATGCTCGAAACCAGAGTTTGGAGAGTATCAAGAGAACTGGAAGTGTCACCCGGGGCAGACTTTTCATGAATCAGTCAGTGCCTGAAGCCCTGGAAGATGAAGAGAACGAGGGGAAAACTATCTCTGCAGCAGTTTCTGTGCCAAAGGTTTCGTACATTGACACAGGAATCCAATACTCGCCGCCACCTTCACCTAAGCTGCCTCCTGCGAAGCCAGCAACGCCCGAGCCCCGTGCTCCTGCTAAGTTGCCTGAAGTCGAGTGTTCGCCACGAGGCGATGGCGAGATTGAAGCAAACCAACGTCGGAAGCGTGTTCACCCCCCTCTCAACATCGAGCCAGCAGTAACTCGACGACTCATGGTCTCTAGCTCTGTCCAGACAACAGAAGAGCCGTTGCTGCCTCCGACTCCTAAGACGCCCAATTCGCCTACTCGGCCACCGCCGCCGCCGCCAGTACAGTCTCCTGTGATCGAAAAACCCTTGATGATCACATCTTCCACCCAGACTGAAGGCCCACCCACTCGTCCACCACCCGCTATTCCACTTGCTTTGCCATCACCGCCCCCTCTTGCAATTCCTAGTATCAGCGTCCACCCTCCTACCAGTCGCCCTAGCACACCTAAGGAGCCGAGATTGCCAGTCCTTTTCAAAGATTTTGGTTGTCAAGTTGCCCTGCCCTCTTCATCCTCTACAGCCGAAGCAGCGGTACAGACGGAAGGCATACAGACTGACAAGCGAATGGCACTTCTTCCACCCCATCTTCAGCCCTCTGCCATTTCCTCCCGGCCTACCTCACCAAACCCAACGTCTGGTGCGGACACAACAAAAAGCTTCACACCTATCCCTGGCAATGTCCCACCACGGAACCCGCGTCGACTCAATAGGCAGAGTTTTAGCGATCAACCTTCCTCGCCAATTTCTCTCCCTGAGGATGACACCCTTCATGATGCTTATCCTGGCAACAACGATGATGGCCCTCTCTCCAACCAGAAAGCGCCAGTGCGGCGGCCACATCGCTTTAGTAGCCTCTTCGCTGGCTTTGACGGAGGTAGCTCTGACGAAGCAGACGACTTTGGTGATGTAGATTTGAGTGATTTGGAGTACCGAACTGCATTGTCTGCACCGCGTCCCAAGTCTATTTCAAGTCGTCCTGGTAAGCGTAGCTCAACTGGCACGACTGAAACCAACGGCACAATACCCACATCTCCTGAACAGATTACTATGCGACAGGGTCCTCGCGTTACCACAGAAATCCATCACGCCTTTACGACCAAACCTGGAAGAGGCTTTGAGAAGGGCCCTGCTGCCATGCCATCCAACCGGGCTAGCGTTATGCGAAAAGCCGCGATGATTCAGAATGGTATTGCCAGTCATCAAAGTCAAGGACGGGCGAGGAGTCCAAGCTTGCCTGATAACAAAAACCCTCCCCCATTCCCGATCCCCACAAGAGCCAGCTCTAGGAACATGCCTCCAAGTGCAAGTGCTCCAAGCGATGGTCAGAGAAGCCCAACTCGAGGTGATTTCTTCCAGCGTCGTGGATCAGGTCGCGTCTACCGGGCAGGAAGCGTACGAAAGGTCAGGTCTGCCGCTGCATTACCGCGCAACCACCGACATCGTAAGCAAGGCAGTCGATCTTCACCTCCGCTGTCTCCTTCTACTGAAGCCCCTGAGAGCCCGGGTCTGCCTCCATTGCCCAAGAATGACATTACAACTCCCCGCACTCGGGCTCGTCATAGTGGTCAATTTAGACATCAGCATAAGCTTTCTACCAACACTGATAACACATTCAATACATTCAACACTTACAATACTGGCAACACGCTCAATACTTCTAGCACTGATCCGCCCTTCAATCCGAGCAGCCCTCAGAACACGAGTGTAGTCGATGCCATCGCACAGACCATGGTTGGCGAGTGGATGTTCAAATATGTCCGCAGAAGAAAGTCGTTCGGCGTCGCGGAGAGCAACGGCAAGGACGATACCGGCAACGATCGCCACAAACGATGGGTTTGGCTTGCACCTTACGAGAGGGCTATCCTTTGGAGTAGCAAGCAGCCGTCCTCTGGCAGCGCCCTAATGGGTAAGGCTGGCCGAAAACGTAAGTTGCTTACATCGATTCTACGAATGATACTGACTGGCGAACACAGTGACTATACAATCTGTCCTCGATGTTAAGGATGATAATGCTCCACCGAAGGGAGTCTCATCAGTGTTCAACCGATCAATTCTTATTTTGACACCACAGAGAGCCCTCAAGTTCACGGCAGATTCTGCTGACCGGCATTATATCTGGTTAACAGCTTTGTCATTCCTTGCACATTCATCACAGGCAGTCCCCGAAAACATCTCTGCACCACCGCCAATACAACAAACGCCACTACCAGAGTTTGAGGCTCCCCGGCCCAAATTGAAACGGGGCGGAATTAGAGACTCCATCCGTCTTGCCAAAGGCCGAACAGTTGGTCCTCGTGCTGGACCACCCAGTGTTCCAAGTATCCCAAGTATCCCCAGCGCGCCCTCTTCACAACTTGGAGATGTCACTAGTTTTCCCGTTACGGAATCTGTAGGAGGCTTCTCAAGTACACACTCTCGAGAAGACTCAAGAGATGCTGCAGAGCCCCCATTTATACCACGTTTCCACGATAGAAATCAAGGAAACCAGGTCAACGTCCATGGACGTAAGCGAAGCAACACAGGCGGTCATGTACCGCCGCCGCTCTCTTTCCGGGGCTTCTCTGGACCCATTGGAGGTGTTGGCCATCACCAGTCCACTAATAGTACTGCTGGTAATAGCACTGGAACCGCAGGTTCTTCTGATATCTATCAGTCCCAGGCTTCGAGCAACGGAACTTGGGCAATGAGCCAAGCAGGCTCACAGCGAACTTCTGAAGCATCTTCACGACCAAGCAACTTCTTTGATGCCATTGGCACTGTACGAATGGAGGCCTTTATCAGTCCGCTAGCATTTTCTCAGTTCGGCGACTACCCGGATGAACAGGACGAATTCCGTCACTCACTTCGCAGACGAAGTAAAGAACAACGAAGACGACAAAGCCGAAGTCGACATCGAGATAGTTATAATTCTCGCAGCACCCGTGCAACACACGATGACTATTACCATGGAAGCAGAACTGCCGGAGAGGAGGACTATTTCCGTGATGATCCCTTCAAGGGATTCTAGCATCCATTTGATTCCGCACAGTAGCCACGACGGCAATTTATCACTTTCATTATATTTCGCTTTCTAGGTCATGTTCATTGGTTATGGCAGAGCTTTACGCAACATTATACCCTCTTCTGTATAAATACTTTGGGATCGGTTTAAGAACTTGGCCCTCGCGGGCTAGTTAACAATCATTATGTGTGGAGTTTTGGTATTGTCTTTCTGCTAAATATTGTGTATACACTGAAAACCAGGGAAGATGTAGAGGCCGTGGGATTCGGAGGTTGATAGAAGTGAGGTAGATGACGTGTCAACAGAGAAGCGGTTCAAAGAAGACATACAAATCAGTCCAATCCGGCTCAAAGAAAACCAGGTTGGTCTTGAAAAGTAGATAGATAAAGGTAAAAATAGCCTAGCTCATCTTGACAGTTGTCGCCTCCAACTGATGTGTGACTTTCGCTTTGGACCTTTTGCTGCTACGTTGATGGATTGAAAGACGATTAAAGTATTCGTCATAACTAATTTATATTTTCTAATATTGATTGTCTTACGGTTTGATGGACATAATCATGTACAGTTGAGAGAATGCCCCACTGATGAAATTTCCCACTTATTTACCCCGCGATCATGGTGTAGCTCTTCAAGCTTCAGTATTTTCTCTTAACTTACCTACTAGGTACATAGAAGTCAAACAAGGACAGGACCACGTTTCCTCGCCTTTTACTGCAGGATATATCAAGAGTCGATACCTCAGACTACCTGAAACCTGCTTTCTGACTAAAGTCCAAGCCAGGCTAAAGCTAGTCGCAGCAGTCATGGACAACCCCGTGGCAACGGAAACTCTTGAGCAGGTTCAGACACGGCATCGTCGTGAGCTCAAGGACCTGCAAGGCCGCATAACGGGAAAGAAGAAGAACGCCACAAAGAAGACGCGGAAAGGCGTAAATGACGAATGTGCAGAGATGGAACGTCAGCTACGTGAAAAGCAAGCCACCGAGATTGCCGCTTTGAACACCAGCGATGGTAACAACGGTGATGAAGACGACAATACCGCTGCCGAAGCTCAAGACCAGCCCCAAGAAGATAGCCTAGTGGAAGAGACCGAAAGGCTCGCTGTTTCAGAACCGGCACAACAGCAACAGCAGCCGGGAAAGAAGCGCAATCGTCAGAAAGAGCGGCTTGCCCGACGTGCTGCTGAGCAGGAGGCTGAGGCGCAGCGTGCAGAAGAGGAAGCGTCCAGTATGACCAATCACCGAGCGAAGGAGAGCGAATACATGAAGTCGACGTTTGAGAAGCATGGGCTTGTGGAGAAAGATATTGCGCCTGATGGGCATTGTCTGTTTTCAGCGGTGGCGGATCAACTCGGCCAGAATGACATTCCCCTCGGAGAAAGGGATGCCAAGGAACCAGCATACAAGACGGTGCGACGAGTAGCTTCAGACTATATGTTGGAGCATGGAGACGACTTTGCGCCGTTCCTTGAAGAAGACCTCCAAGGCTACGCTCGCAAGATGCGAGATACTGCTGAATGGGGTGGCCAGCTTGAGCTCATGGCGCTGGCACGGCAGTACAAAGCGGAGATCCGAGTGGTTCAAGATGGACGCCTCGAGCGTATTGGTGAGGAAGAGGCAGCCGAGTCGGGCAAAACATTATGGCTGGCATACTACAGGCACGGCTACGGCTTGGGAGAGCACTACAACTCTCTCCGAAAGGCACCATCATGAGAGGGATAAGGACATCACTTTTGTTCTGGTGCGTACATCGGCGAAAGATCATATGGTGGTTGTTTGGTATCGAGACGTAAAAAAGAAGATTTGGTGGCCAAAGTATTCAGTCTGGTTATCGACTCCAGACCGAGAGGAAGTCAAGCACTGCGCCATCTGGGCTGGTGCCGGCCTTGTGCGTCCGAGTTGGTTTGAGAAGACTCAGCCGATGTAGGGCGTCGGCCCAAGGTTTTGAGCAAGGGTCTTCATGAACGGTACCGTCGTCGTTGTATGCAATTTCTTCGCCAGGAGCTGCTAGGAGGGCTTCGTAGAGCTCTGGAGAGACTCCCCACGGGGGCCCGTTGGCGGACATGGGTTTTGTCGAAGGGAATTCGAGACAGACGAGGCGACCATCGTGAGAAAGCAACTCGGTCATGCGCTTGGCCCATTTTGGTCTTGCTTCGCGAGGCAGAGCGCATAGAAACTATACAGTTAGTTGGCTTGCTGAAAAGTAGAGGCGCCCAGGATATGTATCAAGCCTGAGCTTCAAGAAGCGGAATTACCGTATAATCGTAGATCAGGTCAAACTTGCCATCAGCACCAGCACCTTTGGCCCAATCTTGTCTGAAGAAGTCACCAGTAATCCAGTGAATCTTTCCTTTATCCAACCCATCGACGGGTTTGTATAGACCCTCTGACTCGGCTTGCTTTTGGTTCCTGATTGCCTCCTCCTTTGCAGCAGCACTGAAGTCGAGGCCCCAGACATCATAGCCCCACGAGCTCAAGAGGAGAGCATCATGACCACGTCCGCAACCGGGGACCAGAGCCTTCTTCTTTTCAATAGCGCCTGTTGAATCCCGGAGGGGATGGCCGCGATGATCGTGATGTTGGGAGGGCGGTACGAGATCGGGTCTTTGAGCGAGGAGGTCATGAAGGGCAATGGAGGCGGTTCCGCGGTCCCACGGTGTTAAAGCCTCTCTCCAGCAACTATCCCACTTCTCGCCCTGCTCTGCGAAAGGAACAGTCGAGATGCGGTCTTGTAAAGGATTTTCGGTAGCCATTGGCGCTTATAGGGATACGATAGCGAGACTATGTGGCGGTGACGGAAGTTGAAGAATAAAATTTCTCGATTTGGGGACACAACCTGAGTCTTTAGATAGCGTGCGTTATGAGGTGAGGGGGAGGGTCCTGCCGGCTCGGGATGGATCGATATAAGTTCGGGATGGAATAGGATGGTGGGGTTAGACAATGACGAAAGAGGGACGTTTGTGGGGAGCTATGAAAGCTGTGGAGGTTAGCAATCGATATCAGTAATTACAGAGATATATCTTTGTATGAGGTAAGTAATGTAGTTAAGATACTGAGGTTGGAGATGAAAAGGCAGAATCAAGTCATTTCTTATTTGGTCGCGTGCGATACTCAAGTTTCGGAAGGAGAAGGAGTGGCACTTTGTACGGACATCCGGGGCTGCTGGTCTACTAGCGTATACGCTAAGTGAAGATGAAAGGCGTGGGCTTGGATTAAAGCAGTTTGATGCTTTTATGAATGCCTAGAAGCGATGTGTTGCATATAAGCTGTGGGAAGGTGAAACAAAGGTCGGTTATGATGTGTTTTTGGATGATGGTGGGGTTTGACAGATATCATAGGCTCTGTGTTTCAGTTTCGGAGTATAGGTAAGCCTCAATGCCAAAGGTACTGATGCATGAGCATGATCAACCTGTCGTCTGCTTAGATGACCTGCATAAAACGAGCGAGCCACCATAGTCAGATATTCATGTTGTGCTACAGCACACGACAAAGCATCTGCAGTAATATTTGATCACGACACCAAGTTGGATGATCAGTTAAAAAATAAAATAAAAAGAGTAATGAATTACACGAAAGCAAGTGAGCCCTTAATCAAACAGAACAAACCTAGAATACAAATAGATACTCACATATCCAGACAAACCTCCAGCTAATCATCAACTCGCTTTCTTGACCGTTGCCTTGAAGCGCGCAATATACTCGGCCAATTTCTGAAAATATGAACTCCATGCTCGAGGTCTTTCATCGTACTTGTTTTCAGTCTTGCCACCATATTGGTCCAGCGTCCAGAGAAGTTCAACAGTGAACTCCTCATCGTTGGCCGAATTCTTGTAAGGCTCTGCCTCCTCTTTGGGGATTTTGTTCTTGGTACCTCCACCATGTCTTTTGAAAAGGATGTGGAATTTACCTCTCTTCGCCTCCGAGGGAAATGTCGGTTCCTGAGAGGCATCCGCAGATGTTGCGAGTACTTCTGTTTGGCTTGACGACTCGTCAACTTTACCTGGACTTCCGTGCAAATAAGCCGAATCCTCAGAGACTGCAGTCTGTGTAACTGCTAGAGGTTTGACGCCAGTGATCTTCACGGGGGCTCTCTCCGACTCTTCGTCCTTCTCCCTCAAGTCTTCAATTCCCTTGAGTGTGACGTTGGTCATTTTCATCACAATGTCTTTCGCTTCATCGAAAAGCTTTCCCTCCAAGTCATAAGCAGGCCTGCGGACAAAGTTCTCCATGACCCTAACCGTGCTCATAATAGCACCTAAAGGCCCATTGAACCATTCCCTATGCCCTTTGCCACATGTTTTGCACTTGTCAATCCTTAGGTTGATATCTCTGAGATATACGTGTGCTAGTCTCTGGGCTTTCAGAGAACCTCTAAATGCTTCGTCGGATTCGTGGATGGGCTTGAGCACACATGATCCTCCGTAGCAGTTGCTGGGCTGTGATAGACTTGTGCTGACAGTGGTTGCGGTCCATCCAATCTTGAACAAGTTGTCTTGCTCCTTGTGCTTCAGAACGTACACTTTGCCCTTTCGCATCTGGTTCTGTGTCAGGGACCTGCCTAATTCCTTTATGATATCGGATTTGTTGCTTATGGTTCCGTTCCTCCTTATCCCGAGTTGACCAAGGGTCGGATGGGCAAGTCGCGGCTCATCAGTATCGGAGTCATTGTCATCTGCGCCTGCATCGTCGTCGATGGTTTCCACAATGCCGGTTTCTTCGGCGACGCCATCTTCCTTAGCGAGAATCGGGAGCCCATGCGAAGCTTCTTTGGGGGAAATGACATTGATCTCGGTGACGTTTTCCGCAATACCATCTGGCTTACCAGAATCGGCAGGCTTGTCTGGGGTCGAATTAATGCCGAGTGCCAAAACGGGAATATCTTTCGAGTTACCGTCAGAAGTTGACAGGTCGTCGATGTTGGGAAGAGGACTGTGGTGGTTGATCCTGCTTGGAGTGCACGGGACGAAGCTACCAAAGCTGGAAGCCGGACTTTTCTCTGCGGTTCTTGGTGTGTCATCTCCGACAAGAGGGCTTGAGGGAGGGGTATCGTATTCCACAGTAGGAGATTCAAAGACTTGATTTTGAGTTGGTGTGCCAGGTAGCGACGCCTCAGATGAAGCGTAACCCGAGTTCTCAATTCGGGACTTTTTCCAGTCATCGAAACGCTTTTGGAGGTAACCACTCCCTTTATGCTTGTTGCAGTGAATCAAAGGGAGAAACTCGATGATTTTGTCGTAGAATTTGACTTCATCTGGAAATGCTTCCTTCAAGTCTTCCCAGGCCCTCTGTGCTTCTTTTTCCCGCTCTCCTTTCTTACCTTTAGTGCCCAAACGGCAAAGCTCGGAGGCATGGCATTTTTTAAAGCTGGGAAAGTTGGGATCATCATCAGAGGGAGAAAGTTTGACGAGAGTCCTAAGCTCTTTGAAGACAGGTTGCTCAGAAAGAGGGGCCATTTTGATTTGAGCAGTTGAGATACACTCAACTCAGGTTCACGAGAATGCATTGCTGTACCTATGGACGGTCTATTAACTATGGAAAGTCAGATGGCTGGGAGCCCTGCTCGCAAGGGGGTTGAAACTGAACACCAGGGTCAAGATACTCAGCCTCGAGAATCACGTCGTTGGTTCGACTCTCTATGTTGCGAAGTCATGGTGTGATCATGGTTTATATGCAGTTGGTTGTGTCCTGCAGACGGAAGGATTTTCCCCGGGTCAGAATAGGAAATGGATGTACCAAAGCTGAAGAGTGTTGAAACGCCAGGGGCATGCATGTCAAGGTCTCCAACGCTCAAGCCTCACGAAGACGTTATCAGCCTTCAAGATGGCCTTGCCTGTCTGTATAGGAGAGTTTCAGTTTATGTAAGGTAGTGTGTGACCTCCACGCTCCTAGCCACCATCTTTGGTCAGATGGAGGGTTACAGCACCTAATCCTTCCGGCAACGAGATCCAGATAGACACGGAGTTGACCGATACATAGTCTTGCTACCTTGTCAGGTCTCTGCTGTGCCGTCCTAGAACCTCAGTCAAGTGCGCCGGGGGGGGGGGCATCACGGTGACCAGGCTTGGATAAGAGAAAAGGGAGGCGATAGGGGACCTTTTGCGATAAATCTCGATGTTCTGATATCCTGGTGACTTTGATTTTGCGGCACACAGAGGAGAGTTGCATGGTGATGTCGTTTTAGTTGCAACCTCTTCGCCTGGCCTTGGCTTGAATCTTGATGTTGAGTCTGGGTTTTAGATATTGGCCATTGCTCCTAAGCTCTGTCTCGAAGCAGGATAAGCCCATGCCAAGCGAGCTATGTTGCTTTGAGCGTATGCTTTCAACTGCGCTATTGACGATAGTGGGCGGCCGAATGTAAGATACAAGTAATGCTGATAGTTTCGCCTGGACAGTGGAGCTGACTACGTGCCAAGTGAAAGAGCCCAAGAAACTGGATAGACTACAAAGCTACTCACGTGCATTTAATTCTGAAAGGCAAAAAGAAGTGCCGACAGATGTGCCTGCCTCGGAGGCACAAGCTGAAGTCTAATACTGATTACCTTACACATAGCATCACAGTTCAGCAAAGAAACCTAGGTATGGTGAATGACTGTCTCATCTCATTATAGTACTGGACGTATCTATCTAGGCAGCCCATTCCCATTATAGCCGTAGCATTTTGATGTAAGATCATGAGTAATGCCAAAAACAACACAACCTGCCCGTGGTATATATATCATCCATCCAATCATCCATCTATGTAGTAGCAGTAGCAACACAGAATTATTCCGTTGTAGAAGTGGAGAGGGAAAAACAGAAAAGTATGGGGTCATTCATGTACCTCCAATCTTGAACCGAACGCCATAACCCCAGATGTTCGCTGTTATAAAAAAAAAAAAAAAGCAATACGTATGTCGAAAGCAAGAAATGCAATGCAATGGAGATGCTGTTGATATGACGACACTCCCCGGTTGCGTCTTTGTCGGTTGTTTGCGGAGAAGAAACCGAGCCGAGGATGGAGGCCGATCAGAAGAATGAAGGCTTAAACTTGCTTCGTCGGATAAAAAGCCGTCATCGCGTCAACGCCAAACGGAAATACGGTAGCCTCGCAGTGGTTCCCGGCCCGACAATCCCACGTTGAATCTAGTAGAACAGCCGATACTTTGGGTCGGACCAAGGGCCGAATGGACATGAATGAGGCCCACTTTAGATGCGAACGAGATAAATCGTTATCGTCGGGAAAACACATGCCGAAAGATACCATCGAACCACTTTCAATAATACCAAGTATTCATCGACAAGGGTTGCCTTGAGTTTTGTTGAGTTGAGTTGTCAAAGGACAAAGAATGTGAGCAAGGCATTAATGAGGCGTGATTGGTGAAATGTGATAAGCCAAACATGCCACAGTCGCATAAATCCCCCCCCACTGACATCTTGTCGTGATTCGCGGAGCTGAATAGGCTGTGTATGTCGAGACAGCCATGATTATCGCTTCTGTTTCTGGTTTTTCTTTTTCCCGTGATCACCCTTGGTAGAAGGGAGCATATCGCAAACATAGCAGTCAGAGGGCAGTCCGCAGTCCCTTACAGGCCACACTCTTCAAAATCGCGTATCATGATGGCCATTTGCGCCCGCTTGGCAGCCTCGGCAATGAGTGTGAAGTCCTGGAGAAAGGCGTCGGTTGAAGGACCGTTACCCTGAGCGGGAGCAGGTTGAGGAACCATCTGCACAGAAGGAGACTGCTGAGCCGAGGAGTTGGAAGTTGAGCTGGAGGGAGCGTCCATTATGATAGTTGATGGTGTTGATGATAGATAGTGACGGACTATGTTGGTATAAGCGAGCGGGTCCAGGTGTTGGTGAGAGGAACAGATATATAAGATAGAGTAGAAGGTCGGGGGAGAAGAATGTGGGAATGGGGTCGAATATGTATCTGGGAGGTTAGGCAGCCAAGAAATAGAGATACAGTAGCACAGTGACAGTTGATAAACTACTGTATGTGGGTGCGTAGGATGATGATGTGGAGGTGGGTGTGCTGTCGGCCCTGGCTTGGATATATGCTTATGGACGTAATGGTAGGAAGCACAGGTATTGCGTGGGGTAAAATGACGGGATGTCACTCTCTTGTTCCCCCTTTGGTCTGTTCTCAATAATATCGACTTGTTTCACACGCTTGCTGCCACCTCTTTCTGCAGGGTGACGTTCCGGTAATGGATGTACACTCTGGAAGTTGGCACGAGTGGTGACGTTCTTGACAACCAACCTCTACCTTGACGTTAGATTTTAGGTGTGGTTGATGTATTAGGCTGATGCCGCAAACAGTTGGGTGTACTAAAGACCCGCTCGTTAGGTGTTGACCTCTTTTTCTGCGCTATAGAATAATAAAGGGCCGAGTGTCTGGGGACAGGATGCAAATCAAATCGTGAACGGAGACGGAGACGCCGAAGTGTGGAGGAGAGGAGGAGGTAACGAGATGATAGAGAGGCTCAAGAATTTACGAGTACTTATAACAGTGGAAGATGCCGCCCGCAGTCAGATCGAATGAAGCCGAGGAAACTTAGTAGGCCAGGTATCATATGGATTGCACCAAAACTTGTGTCTGTGACAACCATCATTTACATTTATCCGCAAGTACCGACCGTCACCCGTACGGTAACACTAACACTAACAAAAAGCCCCAAGGTTACATGCAGCTGTAGACAACTGTTCTGTTCCTAGATCCTAGATAATCGCGCGGCGGGGCAGAAAATGGAACCGAGAGAAAACAAAAAGAAGTCTTCTCTGCATTACCGCAACTCGAACTCGGCCTTATGCCCGGGAGCTAACCAGAGCTAGGAACTGGGGTCTAATCTACCTACTATGTATGGGTATCATGTCCCTGTGGATCTGGGGTGCAAGTGGGAAGTGTGGGATCTCAGACCCAACTTTTCTTCTTCTTTTTTTCTCTTGTTCTACTTCCTCTGTTGTGGAGGAGCATTGGAGTCTTTTTTTTTTTTTTTCTTCCTTTGGTTCAAGGAGTAGAAACAAGAGACCCTGAAAAAGACCGAGAGAAACCTCATAATGCGAATAATAACAAGACGCTACTGTAGCATCATGACACCGCATGAGATTGGATCGAGCCCTACATACGCGCATTATTATCGCGGCACTGCGGGCATCTTGCTCCGCTTAGACGCTCACCGCTCGTCCCATCTAATCAATTACTTACTATCCTCTCTTCTCTTCTTTTTAGCCGTGATGCTCTGAAACCATTTCTCGGCTCGGCATCTGATTTATTATTTGTACAAGCGCCCACCAATCATTGGACCCTTAGACACAAGGAGCGTGGGGTGTGTCTTGTGTCCCCCCAATCCCCAATCTCTGAAAAAAGAGACAATATTGGCTGGCTTAATACCAAGCTCTTTGAACTTCTCCAGTGATAAGCAGGATCGTCAGGAATAAGAGGTCAGGTTATGAACAGAGTATTCTATAGTACGATAACCCCAGTATTCTTATTCAGGGACTCCTGTTATTTGTTTTTATAAAGTATTGATCTGCAGTGTTACCTCATCCTGCCTGCATATTCCATGCAGGTTATTTGTGCTCAGTCAGGAACAAATAACGTGATTCTTCCTTTTTGATACGACAAGTAACCATTTCATAACATCTAACCGGTCCGTTCAGCCTATCTGTATCTGTCCAACGCCAAAACAGCTTGAGAATACTCTCAAATCTCTCATGACCTTGCTCTTTAGCGAGCCTCATTCCGAGATAAGGGTCCGCACCAGAACCACTACAGTCTAGCTCAAGCCCGGGTTCTTTCGGAATTGGGTTTTCAGTTGGTGCGCTTGGCTCTTATAGTGGAGATCCCGAATTTTCCCCTTCTCTCGAGCCAGAAAAATCACCACAGGGACGCTGGAAAATCTGCCCACTATGAACCAATTCTCCGTTTTGCACGGCTCTGTCGGACATCATTCACCGATACTACCACTTCGTCTGCCCTGCCTCGGGCCTCTGATCCGTCATGTCTGGCCTGCGACCATAAAACGTCAGCCCAGAATTCAACGTTAGCAAAGAGGTGGATATCTCAAAACCTTGATAGAGCCGCTCTTGCGGAGCCGTCACTGAACCGTAGTTGACTACCTTACTAGACTACCTCAAGAGGTGTAGTGTCCGAGGCGCTTCTACAAGCCGACTAAAGCGGATCAAAGGACATTGTAGCCGCTGTTGAGGCCTCGGCCTTCAAATGATGGCGTAATTTGACGCAGACTCATGAATCGTGTACGGGATCTTCATCTTATATCTGATATCATAACACAACGGTCTAGCTTGACGGGGTGTTTGACACACCAGTATTCATCATGATTTGCATCATGAACCAACATGACAGGTGGATAAACAGTTCCAAGCCATTAGGAAGTTATTTTCGAGGCAAATGGGGGAGAGAAACGGTTTATTGATTCTCTCCATATCGATCAATTAACCTTCCCTCCGTCTT